TATCTTTAGATCGGATGTGACATGCGCCTCCCGATAGACCTCCCGTACCTCTTACCCTGTCCCGATATAACCATCTCCCACGATTGCGCCACACGCCCATGCGAGATCATTTGTAGTGCACATTACGAGGCCGGACCTAAGACGTTAATCGCCCCATCAAAAGGAGCGGTTAGACCGTAACCCAGCCGGCGCTACACGTAAAACGGGCGATCTCGTCATGCGTTACAGCTCTTTACAGCCACGCGGAACCTCCGCTAAGATCCGTTTCGCCTGACAAGGACCCTTCGTCGTCACAGGCATCTCCTCACGTCCCAGCCTGCTTATCCGTGGCGTCATCCACCCTCACCGCACGTTTTGCAAATTTAATCCCTACCGCGGTCGCCTACTAGTCTGTTAACCCAATTAGTTGCCCATCCGCCCTGCCGACCAGGTCATCCCGGTTTCCCTAGAGGTTACCATACCCTCACACCTGTCGATCTCAGCATTGAGAACAGTGCTGCACCTTGGGGGGGCTATGCAACAGGCGGAGATCTGACCAGAGTACCGACCCTGGTTGTTTTAAAAAACGCTTACGTTAGATGACATTTTTCTGTTTTTTGACAGGAATTGCATCTCTAAGGTTACGTGCGGAGGAGTAACTCCCAGCGCCGCAACGACCAGTCGTTCCGTTGTTCTTTCTTTCTACTGCAACCCACCTTGAATTAGTTCTCCACTTTTACACTCGATAATAAACTTAAATAAATAAATAATTTTATTGAAAGACCCTTGGGAGTCTCTTCATACCATGTAAATACAAATCATCAAGTAACTTTTAGAGCAAGTTGGCAGATTCTGTACATTATGCAGTTTTCGATTGTAGAATAAACAGATTCATTTTGAGATACAAGGACTTCTAGACAGGATTTTCCAATCAGCTGGTTCGTCTGAGTTTACGTTGCCGCCTTCAGGACTGGCTTATTGTACAACACGAGAAAGGTTTCTGCTGAAACGACGATTTCCAATAACAAAAAACCAAAAAGTAAAGGAATCAGTGTGCGAAATAGCACCAGTACACAGAAAAAAACCAGAAAAGTCGGAAAAATATAGGCCGAAAGCGCAGGAAAAGCACACTCCTCAATAAAACAAATTAATTAAACGCAATCAAAACCTACCATTAGGCGTCCCTTCATTAGCTCAGCAGATCTACTCACCGACAGATGTCATTGCTGTCATCTAACTTACAGCCGTCAATACCTACCGTTAGGCACGTCATTACGACAATCTTAATATGTATTTGATCATTATTTATAAACGTACAAGGCATGTACCTGCCCATTTTCTCTTTCCCTTCTCTGAAATAGACCTTGTGCTCTAACGGCGGTTTCTTCTTGTGTCAATTCCCATTTTTCGGTTTGCTTCGCCCTTTCACCGTAAGGCAGCCTTGTATATGTGTATATATCCCCACTTCTGTTTATGTTTTTTTCGCATCGGAGATATTATTTGGACTGATTCCGTTGTACTTTGTCGGCTGTCGTATTTTCACATTTCTTGTCGACCTATGAAGACGAATTTGGTTATCTCCAATAAAGATTCAAATCTTTTTATAAGTCGCCCGTCGGAAATATAGTATTTAGGCAGAAATTGCGTTCCGTACTGTCATTTCTACGACGTCCGCGTCACAATTTTGCCGGCTGTTCCTTGAAGGCCGTGTCTGTGAGGAACGCATTTAACTTTAATTCACTCTTCTTACCAATTATTATGTCGCCGTTTATTTAAATGAACGTTGCTCATATGCCGCGGGGTATTGCAGTGCTGTGTCGCGCATTTCAACGTCAAAAATCAAGGCCACGCTAACAAGGAATTGAGCATAGCAAGCAAATAATATAACAACGGAGGTCTTTACTTATTTGCCACAGTCATACTGCGGCATTTCGGCCTCGCAAGCGAACTGCCTACTATCACAGCAATTATTTCGGGCAACTGACTGATTACGGACAGTTATCTTGATCAGGTGAACCGTCCGACATCCACCACTTATTAATACTTGGGACAACATGTGTACCATGAGTCGACCCACTAGCCTGGTCATATGAACGACTCCTGATTGTGAATGGCGTCATTGTCGGCGGCCTGGCATGCGGTCGACCCCGGGATGTGAAAGTTGGGGAGCAACCTGTCGTTGTATAGCACCAAAGTGAGCTGTTCGTGTCCCACTCTAACGCCTGCACGCAATTAATTGCATTCCCGCCTT